ATGAGTGATGCCCCATTCTTAATGAGGCATTTCAACCCAGATGCCCATGGTCATATAGAGCAAGGTTCCTGCTTCGTTAAACCAAGCTCACTAATCAGACTATATTGAATAAACTCCCTCACTAACACCTGATATAATACCTTACGGGACAACGCCTGGACGTCGGAGAGGCCATCCGTTGCCCGTAAGAGGAACTGGAGTGCTAACCGGAATTCACGATAGAAGGAGCACTCGCCTCAGTGTAAACGGTGGGACTCCTCCTCGCACGAGTGTACAGGGGCGAGAAGATCTTACTGACTTCTTCCTTCCAGAATTCGCCATTTCCATCCGCTTGATAACACATTCGCTCTAGGAACGCGATGCGAAGCGTATATTGACGAATCTCAACTCTAGACATACCCAGACTGCCTTCAGATCTCCAGACATGCTTTGGGAGCCTTGCCTCCCCATAAGAAGGAGAATAAGACTCTAACTAATTATATTCGTGAGGCATACGGGAGTGGAAGCACGGAGTCAGTGAAGAAGAATTGGGTAGATATGCGAAACACATACTTCCGCCTTCCCCCTTTAAGGAAAGATTCCTTCGGGACCACAGACGGGCTGTGCCCTCGACCTTCTCCTACAACTTCGACCAATTCATTTCCAGTAAAAGATCGGGACAAAACCACACGCCGAGTATCTTGACCGTCCCGTCCATCCAGTAGAATGTCCCGGGAAGTGAAACTCCCTTCCACGCGCCCAACCGGAAGGCAACAGACTTCCCGCTGTTGATCTTGGCCCCTGTTACTGACCCGTACCTTCTGATCTCTTTGTCTACTTCGTCAATCTCGGCCCTGCTCGACACAAGAACCGAAACTTTGTTAGAATAAGCAGAGTACCTGGCCGAATTGGTAGCACCAGTTAAGGAGATTCCGCGTAGGACCGGGTTCGCCTTTAACTTGCGAAGGAAAGGCTGAAACGCAAGAACGTAAAGTAAAGGCGAAAGTGAACAGTTTTGAAGAATGGAGCGAGACATTACGAAGATTCCAATCTCATTCCACCGGCGCACCGAGGAACGCATACAGAAGTCGGATCCAGAAAACGATGGTCAACCCTATTGAATGCCTTGGACTGATCTAAATTGATCAGCGCGGCTTCATTGTCGATTTTCTCGGTGATCAAGCGTACCAAATGAAGATTGTCCTGAATAGTCCTATCCTTCGCATCACAAGTCTGCTGAGAGCCAATCAGACTAGACAGCCTAAAAACGGCTGGCTAAGACCTTGGCTAAAATTTTAAACTGTATTTAACACCGTTAAGACCGAAAACTACCTACCTCATCAAACCTTTCTTGTTTTTGCATAGTAACTTAATCCCAGCCATGGGGAAGCGTTGGGGTATATATCCCTACTTCATCCAGTTGTTGTAAAAACAATTCCTGCAAAGAGACAAGAACGGGCGGCTGCCTCAAGTAGAGTTCGTAAAGAAGACCATCTAATCCCTGAAATTTATCCGGGACAACCAGCTTCAGCGCTTCCTGGATCTCAGACTCTGTAATGGACCCTCGCACTCAGCTGCTTCAGTCGGCCAAATAGGCGTTAAACTGAGCAGGCCTCATACGGGCTTCCTGTTAAATAGATCCTGAAAGTAGTCTCGAAAGGACTCACAAATGCCCACATTTGTAGTCACGGTCCGCTTTTCCGGCAATGCGATGTACAATATTCGATGTGTCCTCTATGTACTCAAGGCTATATATTCTCTTTTCTATGTACCCAAGGCTGTCCTCTTTGTTTCACTCAAGGCTATATGTTCTCTTTTCGCTTTCACTTTCACTCTTTCATGTACCCAAGGATATATGTTCTCTTTTCAGTTTGACTCTATGTACCCAAGGCTATATGTTCTCTTTATGTTTCTTTCACTCTATGTACTCAAGGCTATATATTCTCTTTTTTATGTACTTTTATATTCTCTTTTTCACTTTCACTCTATGTACTCAAGGCTATATATTCTCTTTTTTCACTTTGTACTCAAAGCTATATTCTCTTTTCACCCAGGCTATATGTTCTCTTTTCACTTTGACTCTATGTACCCAAGGCTATATGTTCTCTTTTCAGTTTGACTCTATGTACCCAAGGCTATATGTTCTCTTTTCACTTTCACTCTATGTACTCAAGGCTATATATTCTCTTTTCACTTTCACTCTATGTACTCAAGGCTATATATTCTCTTTTCACATTCACTCTATGTACTCAAGGCTATATATTCTCTTTTCGCTTTCACTCTATGTACTCAAGGCTATATATTCTCTTTTCACTTTCACTCTATGTACCCAAGGCTATATGTTCTCTTTTCACTTTGACTCTATGTACCCAAGGCTATATGTTCTCTTTTCACTTTGACTCTATGTACCCAAGGCTATATGTTCTCTTTTCACTTTGACTCTATGTACCCAAGGCTATATGTTCTCTTTTCACTTTGACTCTATGTACCCAAGGCTATATGTTCTCTTTTCACTTTCACTCTATGTACTCAAGGCTATATATTCTCTTTTCACTTTCACTCTATGTACTCAAGGCTATATATTCTCTTTTCACTTTCACTCTATGTACTCAAGGCTATATGTTCTCTTTTCGCTTTCACTCTATGTACTCAAGGCTATATATTCTCTTTTCACTTTGACTATATGTACCCAAGGCTATATGTTCTCTTTTCACTTTGACTCTATGTACCCAAGGCTATATGTTCTCTTTTCACTTTGACTCTATTTTCACCTACCCAAAGCTATATATGTTCTCTTTTCACTTTCACTCCTATGTACTCAAGGCTATATATTCTCATTTCACTTTCACTCTATGTACTCAAGGCTATATATTTCTCTTTTCACTTTCACTCTATGTACTCAAGGCTATATGTTCTCTTTTCTTTCTCTATGTACCCAAGGCTTTCTCTCTATGTACTCAAGCTATATGTTCTCTTTTCACTTTGACTATATATTCTCTTTTCACTTTCACTCTATGTACGCAAGGCTATATATTCTCTTTTCTCTTTTTCACTCTATGTACCCAAGGCTATATGTTCTCTTTTTATGTACAAAGGCTTTGACTCTATATGTACCCAAGGCTATATGTTCTCTTTTCACTTTCACTCTATGTACTCGAGGCTATATGTTCTCTTTTCACTTTCACTCTATGTACCCAAGGCTATATATTCTCTTTTCACTTTCACTCTATGTACTCGAGGCTATATATTCTCTTTTCACTTTCACTCTATGTACCCAAGGCTATATGTTCTCTTTTCACTTTCACTCTATGTTCTCAAGGCTATATACTCTCTTTTCACTTTCACTCTATGTACTCAAGGCTATATACTCTCTTTTCACTTTCACTCTATGTACTCAAGGCTATATATTCTCTTTTCACTTTCACTCTATGTAACCCCACTGCGTACTGGTAGCATTACAGATGTATTTGGTGTGAAATGATTAGAAACAATTGTGGGACCAACTCTCAAGAGAATCGATTTTTCCTCCCAATCATTACAATGCCAACCTTTTCAAGTCTAGGGTTAACTGTTATCTTCGTAACATATCGTCATAAACTGTGCTTCTTACTCTGTAGTCCTTGAACCCGGGTTTACTACAAAATTAACATCATTAACTGATAGTTCAAAAGCCCAATAGAGCATTGCATGCATTTCACTTCTAGAAGATGATGATGTTCGTGTCTGGGAGTTGGGGTTGTATGAACTGGCAATTCGGAAGCTACTCATGACTCATGATCCCGCTACCACTAGGCTTACTGTATATCTCTTATGAATATATATATTTTTCAAACTAAACTTCAAGAACATGATATTGATGAAAAGTAATGCTCAGTACTAGAGATAACTATAAGTGAAAAATGTCGAGATATCCCATAGAAGTGTCTGAAAAACACAAATCCAGGTGGGTGGGTCACATAGCAAAAAAGAAAAAATAACAGATGGAGCAAAAGGTTGCTTGATTGGTGCACAATAGACAGTAAACTTAGTAAAATAACGCAAAACAGAAGTTTGTTTTACTCCTAAGAGTCTAGACTGGCGTCGAGATTTCATCAATTTACAGTTGAGTTAGTTAGATGTAACCGTAAGTTCTATGCTAACAGTTTCTTTTCTCGCACTTCTCGCTTGTGGAACTCTTTTCCGGCTCCATGCTTTTCAGCTAAATTTAATGTTCAAAAAATTTAAATGCAGTGTCAACCGCTAGCTAATGTCTTCCTGATTACTCTTCTATTGTTCTCGCTCTTAAGCAATGTTTCTGCTTTCTAATTCACAGTACCACCTTCTGTCTTGGTGGCTTTACTGCCTTGGTTGGGGCGAATTCCGATTTTTAAAAAAATCAAGACATAATCGAGAAAATCACAGTAATAATTACCCTATGCCCACCGCGTATAAGTCGACAGTTTTTGTATAAATTGTCACTTTTGGAACTAGACTCAACTCGTGATTCCTTTACCACTAGGCTTACTGTACTCTTTTTACGAATACAATTTTTAACTAAGTTCTTATCTGCGCTGCTGATTTTTTTTTAATTTTTTCTTTTTTATATTTTATCATTGTTATTTGGTCTGCCATTTTAAGGACTTTTTCTCTGTTTCTACGAGGCATGGTTGATAACCAGAAAACGTCTCCCAGCGTTCATTCGATTGTACCAAGTGACATCGTCTTTTTGAGTTTACAGTTTTGACGTTTCATTGATACTTGGGGAACTTTCCATCTTTCTTTCTTTCTTTCTCGCTCTTTCTTTCTTTCCATCTTTCTTTCTTTCTCTCTCTCTCTCTCTCTCTCTCTCTCTCTCTCTTTCTGGCTTTCCATATTTCTTTATTTATTTCCTCCTTTCTTTCCATATTCCTTTTTCTTTCCCCCAGCGTCGGATGGTGTTGCGCATGATGACGGTTAGACTTTCGACAAGTGGGGACGCCGTAGAGCATGTGTACCCAGTTGAAAATTATTTGACAGGCTTTTTGAAAAAAAAAAAAAGTACTTTATGAATTCTCTTCATTTAAGACTACAGATTGGGAGTTTGTTCCCAGCAATAAACTACAGAGAATAAAGGGACAAAAAAAAAGAGGCGGGGAGGAAAAATAGGGGGGTCGATTGAGAAGAATGGGACGAAGTGGTGGTGCAAAAAGATGTGATGATGATGATGGGGGACAAAGAATAAAATAATAAAGAAGGGGAATGGGAAGAAGGAAAATAAAGGGTAACACATAAAAAGAAGAAGAAGAAAAGGAAAGAAGAGGAGAAAGAAAAAGAAAGAAAGAAAAAAAAAAGAAAAAAGAAAGAAAAAGAAAATAAAAAAAAAAAAAAAAGAAAACAAAAGAAGGGTAAGCAAAAGAAAGTTGAAAAAAAGAAGAAATGGCAGAGCAAGAAGAAGAAGAAAAAGAAAAAAAGAAAAAAAATGTTGAAGTAAAAAGAGTATGTGAATGAAAACAGAAGAAGAAAAATGGTAGAATCAGAGGAGAAAAAAGAAAAGAAAGAATAGAAGAGTAAAAAAGAAAAAGAAAGAGGAATAAAGAAAAAGAAATAGTAGAACAAAGATGACAAAGAATAAATAATAGAAGAAGAAGAAGAAGAAAATGGAAGAGGAGGAAGAAGTAGAAGAAGAAGAAGAAAATGGAAGAGGAGGAAGAAGAAGAAGAAGAAGAAGAAAGAAGAAGAAGAAGAAGAAAGAAGAAGAAGAAAATGGAAGAGGGAGGAAGAAGTAGAAAAGAAGACAATGGAGAAATAATGAAAAGACAAAAGAAGAAGACAAAAGAGAAATAATGGAGAAGAAGGAGAAGGAGGAAAAGGAAAAGAAGACAAAAAGGGAAATAATAATAATAATAATAATAGAAGAAGAAGAAGAAGAAGAAGAAGAAGAAGATAATCATCAAGAAGAAGAAGAAAAGAAAAAAGAAGAAGAAAAAAAAAAGAAGAAAATGAAGAAGAAAAAAAAATGGAAAAAAGAAAAAAACAAAATGATAGAAGACAAAAAAGAAAAGGAGAAAAGAAGAAGAAGAAGAAATAAATGACAGAACAGGGAGACAAAGAAGCAGAAGAAAAATAATGGAGGAAGAAGAAAAACGACGACAAAGAAAAAAAATGGTAAAATAAGAAGAAAGAAGAAACAGAAGAAATCGTAGCGCAACAAAAGAAAAAGAAAAAGAAGAGATAATGATGGAATAAGAGGAAATATGCAAAAAAAAGAAGATAAAGATATAAAAGAAATGATGAATTAAGATAATCATCAAGTGAAGAAGAAGAAGAAGAAGGAGAAGAAGAAGAAGAAGAAATGATGAATTAAGATAATCATCAAGTGAAGAAGAAGAAAGAGGAGGAATAAACGACTAAAAAAGAAGAAGAAAAAAGAGGTAGAAGAAATGATTAATTAAATGAATAGACGACTAAAAAAGAAGAAGAAAGAAAGAATAAACGCGTGAAAGAGAATAAGGAAGAAGAAGAAATTATTAACTAAAAGAAAAAACAAGTGAAAGAGAATTTTAAAAGTAGGAATAAACAAATGAAAAAGAAGAAGGAAAAGAAAAAAGAAAAATGATGAATTAAAAGAATGAATGAAAGGGGATTAATAGGAGAAGGTAGAAGAAACGATGAGGTTAAAGAAGAAGAAGAAGAAGGACGAGTAGGAGGAGGAGAAGAAGAAGAAGAAGAAGAAGGAGGAGGGGGATGAGGAGAAGAAGAAGAAGAAGAAGAAGAAGAAGAAGAAGAAGAAGAAGAAGAAGAAGAAGAAGAAGAAGAGATAATGCTGACGGTGATGCTGATAGCGGTGGTGTTAGAAAGAAGAAGAAATGGTAGAGCAAAAGGAAATGATACGTCGAAGAACAAAAAGAAGAAATGATGTAGCAACAGTAGTAGTAGTAGTAGTAGAAGAAGAAGAAGAAGAGAAGAAGAAGAAGAAGAAGAAGATGATGAGGGAAAAGAATAAGCAGATGAAGGGAAAAAATAGTAAAAAAAAGGAAGATGAAAAAGTAGAAATAAATGTTGTCTCAAATGAAGTTGGCGGAAGAAAATGAAATGAAAAGTGGGGGGGGGAATGATAAGGGGAGTGGTTAAGGGATATAATTTTGTGACGAGGTGACAGCAAGGGCGCACAAAACATCGTCAATAATGAGGTATGCCGGGACTGTAGCTCGGAGGGCAACAGTTACAGCCGAAAGGAGGAATGATATTTACGAGGGACGGTCTGGAAAGTGTTTGTATATCAAGGGTTTATCTGCGAGCGGCCGTAAATAACAGAAAAAATAAAATAAAATAAATTTAAAACCGCAGCGACAAGTACAAAAATAGCAGTGTTCGGAGTAGGGCAAATAATATAAGTCCCAGGATGACAAACGACATTCGACAATGACAGAAAGAATGAGACATGTTGAGAAAAGACCTTCAGAAAAGAAAAAAAAAAGAAATTCAT